ATATATATATATATATATATATGCGCCAATTATCATATTTAATGAGATTAGTAACATAGTTATATTTATTATGGTATAATGTTTTGTGATACACTATATAATTTTATTTATTTCGACAATAATAAAGACATTTTGTAAGATATTAAAGAAATATTTATTATAATTATATTTATTTAATATTATTTTTCAACTCAAATAGAAGGAGGTATACACATCTCACATCAAGAATTAAGATTAAAAGTAGTTTATATACGTTTTTTTTTAACTTCTTGAAATATATCTTTTAAGAATAAAATTAATATGAATTCTAAGGATAATCTTTTATCTTTGCATTATCGTACGATCTTGAATTTTATTAAGATGAAATAAAACTAAGCTACGTTATCATAACTTTTTTTTTTTCAAAAAGAGAAGTTTGTATAAAATATTGTATAAAATATATTTAATACAACCCAGAAAGAAAGCTTACAAGAAGATATCTAGTTTTAGAACGAAACTTTTATAAATATATCAACGGCTAGAGGTGATTCATAATAGTTACTCTTAAAAGTGACATACTACAATATTACGTGTTATGAAATTGACATGTAAAAGAAGTTACAACCTTCACATGATTTCAACTAGCTTAATATTGAGTTAATTAAGTGAGTTGATATATTTTTTTTAACCTTTTTGCATCTTCTCTAATTTCTTAGAAGCTACTAACATCTTATACTCTTCTACAAAAATATTCTAGAAACTTCTAATAAGTTACAATTAATAATTGATCAACAATAAAAGAAATTGGATGCACTAAAGCTAAAACAATTGAAAACAAAAATTATTTGTTTCAAGTCAATTGATCGGTATATTATGGAAACCTTTCTCAATAAAGAAACATCTAAGGATATATGAGATTCAATGAAGAAAAAGTATCAAGGATATACAAGAGTAAGGAGGTAGTAGTTTCAAGCTTTTGTGGTGAGTTTGAAACAATCTGGATGAAATATAGAGAATCATCACGAATTTCACGTTTGATAACGATGCTCACTTATGGTTACAAAATTGAAAAAACAAAAGGTATTGAAAAGATTATATGACCTTTAGCATCCAAATTTAATTTTGTCGTATGTGTTATAGAGAATCAAAAGAAATTGATGCTCTTTCGCGTGATGAAATGAGGAGCAAGTATTGAAACCTTTTACTAATACTTAATTCAACAATTTTAGATAGGACAGAGGTAAAGTTAAAGACAAAGCGTTAGAGAGAAAACAATTTCAAAAGTCCATCTCAAGAGGAGAACATGACAAATCCGACGTAGTCTTGTTTCATTGTGCAAGACATCATATTCAAGGAATGGTTGATAATAAGCTATTGGCAGACTTATCTGTACACTTTGCTGAAATATTGATATATTTTTGTGGTGGATATATAATTATCTGTAATAATATTCTCCATGAAAATAGCTTGACTGCATGTGTGTGTGTGTGTGTGTGAGAGAGAGAGAGAGAGAGAGAGAGAGTAGATAAGGAAGTTACCCAAGAGCAGATAAGGGTTCAGATTTATACCTAATTCAAAGGCAACCGCCATGGATGCTGCTACAAGTGCTGCTCCTTTGCACATAGCAATATTTCCATGGTTTGCTATGGGACACTTCACCCCTTATCTTCACCTCTCCAACAAACTAGCAGAGAGAGGGCACAGAATATCCTTCATAGTCCCACAAAGAACACAAACCAAACTACACCACCTCAATCTGAACCCTCATCTCATCACCTTTGTCCCCATCAAACTTCCTCATGTTCATGGCCTTCCCCACCATGCTGAGACCACTTCAGACGTCCCCTTCTCTTTATTTCCACTTATCGCCACCGCCATGGATTGCACACAGAAGGACATTCAACTTCTCCTCAGGGATCTCAACCCAAACATTGTTTTCTTCGATTTCCAACATTGGCTACCCAGCTTGACTCGGAGCCTAGGCATCAAGAGTGTCGCCTACCTCATAGTTCACCCATTATCAGCAGCATACCTTGGAAACGGACCAAGACGAAGCCAAGGAAGAGAGTTAACTGAACTTGATCTTATGGAACCGCCTCCGGGGTTCCCTGATTCATGCATCAAGTTTCAGTCACATGAACTTCGGTTCCTCGCTGAAGTAAGGAAACTCGAGTTTGGAAGTGGTGTCCTCCTGTACGATCGGGTACACAATAGTTTCTGCTCGGCGGATGCAATGGGATTCAAAGGTTGCAGAGAAATTGATGGGCCATATGCGGATTATCTTGAAACTGTGTTTGGGAAGCCTGTTTTTCTTTCGGGGCCACTTTTACCTGAGCCACCGAACACTAGTTTAGAGGAAAAATGGATTTCATGGCTTGGGGGATTAAACCCTGGTTCTGTTATTTTTTGTGCATATGGAAGCGAAAGCCAGTTATCAGAAAATCAGCTTCAGGAGTTGTTGCTTGGTCTTGAATTAACTGGTTTTCCTTTTCTTGCAGCACTTAAGCCCCCTGATGGATTTGAGAGTATTGAAGAAGCTCTGCCGGAAGGATTTGGAGAAAGGGTTAAAGGAAGAGGGATTGCATATGGAGGTTGGGTGCAGCAGCAATTGATTTTGGGACACCCTTCTGTTGGGTGCTTCATAACACACTGTGGAGCTTCTTCTGTGACAGAAGCGCTTGTTAACAAGTGTGGGTTGGTGCTGCTACCACGACTTAGTAGTGATCATATCATGAATGCAAAGATGATGAGTATGATCTTAAAGGTTGGAGTGGAAGTGGAGAAAGGTGAAGAAGATGGATTGTTCACAAAAGAAAGTTTATGCAAAGCTGTGAAAACTGTTATGGATGATGATGGCAATGAGATTGGCAGAGAAGTCAGAAAAAATCATGCCAAACTCAGGAATTTCTTACTCAGTGACAATCTGGAATCCTCATGTCTTGATACTTTCTGTCAACAGCTACGAGATCTTTGTAATGATTCCCGAATTTGAAAATTGTTCTAATAAATATGTATGGGCTTACCCAATTTGAAGTCATGTTCGGTCTTCTCACCGAGCTCCCTCATTATTGAACATTGACACTCTAACTATGCAGCAGTTCAGTTTGAGATTTCATCTAGGGATGCCATTATCAAAAAATTGCATTCCAATCTAAAGAGGGCTCAAGAGGCTATGAAACGGTGGGCAGACTTGCATCGTCGGGATCTCCAATTTTCAATTGGGGATTGGGTTTACGTGCGCCTCCGTCCACGTCGACAACACTCAGTTACGGGTCCATACCTTGGTAAACTGCAGAAAAGGTTTTTTGGACATTCAAAATTTGGAGAAAATAGGTGAAGTGGCTATAAACTGGACATCCCTGCTTCAGCACAAATTCACAATGTTTGCAATGTTAGCCTTCTCCGACCACATTCATGGGCCAAACTCCCTCACCCCCCCCAGAACCTTCCTCCAGATATCGTGGAAACCAACCCACCTATCTGCAACTATTTTGATTGGAAGATGTCAGGAGCAAGACAACCCCCAACAATTGGTACTCATTACACTGGAAGGTTTACCTTTGAAGAGGCTAGCTGGGACTTTGGTCCCAAATCCAGGTAATTTCACATTGAGGACAAGGTTGCCTCTTAAGAGGAAGGAAGAGTTAGGCCCATTACTGAGAAGACTCAAAGGCCAACAACAGGAATCAAGAAACGTGGACAGAGGAGAATTACCCAAAGAATCCGAAGGAACCACACCACACCTCAACGACTAGTGACTAATTGATGATTTGGCCAAGTGTATGGTTCTAGAAGGATTTAGGATCATAACTAACTTTATTCCTGTTGTCTTTTTACTTTTTTCTGCGTCGTAGCATGTATGTGTTATATAGAGGTATACAAATGATTGGAAAGGGAGAGCGGAATAGTACAGGAAATCTGTTTCCCTCTAGAATTCTATTATTCTCTCTGTCTGAGCATTATTTTTCTTTCTTTTCTGTGGAGATATGGAGATATCTTACAGCCCTACAAGTGGGTACTCACAGGGAAGAGATGAAGTTGAGAAATGCAGAAGTAAAGGAAAGCAACTTGTCTTATGCGGGGTTTTGAATGCGCAACCAAAGATACGAGAGGCTCACGAACATGCATCTTTTGGGACCAAGGTAATCATAATATTTTCTAAAACAGTAGGTCCTAATTAATCACTGATTCATTATTTTTCTTATTAATTGTTATTAAAATTAATAGTGAAATATACGTGTTGGTATAGTGCATTGAGAACTTGTGGTCAACTTAGACATGTGTAACACTACGTCTAGTCCTTTTATGGTTGGTGTGTTAAATTAATTGGCCTATTTAATTTTTAAAACAATTATAGTTTTTTAAAAAAGTTCTTCAATTTAATTTTTTATATAAAAATTAGAACGAAATTTTAAATTACTAGAATAATAATGACAACTGTAACATTCCAAAAATTATAGTATGAAACTACATAACGAGACATCACATAATAATAAGATAGAACAATTACTGTAGGAAAATTATCTTACAATTATCCTAAAATAACCAAAAAATTTAAAACTTTACAAAATTCCTATGCTAGTACGAATCTATGTACAAGACTGGACGATCTTATACCTAAGTAGGTGGATCCTTTGTTTCCAGTAATTGCTCCGGTGAAAACTCCTCTCCGTATGCTCACGCCCACAGGGTAATCATCGCAAGGAAGAATACCGAATGAACAACATGACAAGATAGGAAATAAGGGTAAGTTAGAGTAATTTAACTAATCCAATACAACATATAATTCAAACAAGTATAAGAGTAAATAAAAACCAACATGTCAATCATGCAACAACCGAACATACATTTCCAACAATGACCGGACGTATAATACATGCGATGACCGACTACTTGACTTAGATATCCAGATTGTATGAATTGTGTAGCTACAATGTTTGTGCACTCGGATGGTGTAGTAACTGGGATGCCTTCAATAGCTGCCACCCGTGGTTAATCCGTTATACCTCACCTAAGTTACCCTTATGGACTAGAACCTCCTGCCATTCTCATACATGAGTTACTCCTCTCTACGTGAGAATGAGTAATTACAGAATATTAGGATAAACGCCAGCTAAACAGTAACCACATTCATACTTTACAATTCCATAACCATCCATGAGATATTCCTCCTTGGAATTCTCTTTCATATCCATATTACATATATCATACCATACTTCAATACCAACATACTTCCTCATCCATAACACATTTAAGTAAAATCAAATCGAACAGTAAAACAACCACCACCCTTGAGCACGACCAAACTTAAAAGATCAACATAACCTACGAACAAGACCGGTCATTATGTGAACACTCAATATGTGAACATGACCGAGCGATCATTTAAAGAGTAAGACTCAAGCATGAGCCGAACACGATTTTAGGGTCGAACACTACATCAACCAAATACTAAAGTTAACCAAATACTGGAATCTTAAGCTGAAACACTTAAAGCTTAGGCCGAACATTATACTAACAATAGGACGATCGGTCATTAACTAAAGCTCTACAAAAGCAGAACTCAGTTAAGACTGAACACAAGAGTAAGGTCGAACGGTCAACAAGGAGCCTTCAGCGAAACTACTTATAATGCCCCGACAACTTTCCAGAAAGTCGCCCATCCCTAAATTACTCTAGGATAAGCACGCTAAACCATAGAGTTTTTATGGGTTAGACTACCGAAAAGAAAATGCATTTTGGTCATATGAATAGCCAAATCAATCCTTTTATGCTATCCTTCAACTGTATAGTCCCATACCTATACAGTCTCTAGATCCCTCATTCCGGTGTATGTTCGATTCATCCATGTGTCCCTTCCACTAGAAGCCTGCTAGGAGCCGCTCTTTGTTTGTGCCTCTTGCACTTCGTGCCTCTTGTACCGGCGATCACTTCCCTTCTTCGTCAATGCCCGGGTGTCACATGCGTACCAGCTTCCGCGTCGAACCACACCGTACGTGGAGAGGCTAGGCTCTGATACCTATCTTTACCAATTTCCTTCATTCTTCCTAACTTCTAATCCTCCAACTTGTATTATACAAACCTATACACTTCTCTAAGAACCTCTAAACATTCCTCACAATACACTCGTCCATAAACTAGAAATGGTACAAAAAAACATTCAACATGAACACAATACATTCCAATAATACCGAGCACACAATCATTCAATTTCACATACATGTAGAACCGTCAAATAGTATTTTCATACATCATAAACAAATCTATTAAACTAACTAGCTTCCCTTACCTCTTAACTGGACCACACAACTTCTTTCTTTCCAGACATTTGCTCACAACACCAGAAAATCCTAAGAACATATATAACTCGTTGATTGGTGAGAAGAGACCAACCAAAAGATCAAGAATGAAGTTACAAAGGGAAAGAGAAGACTGATGAACATATGCAAACAACAAGGCTTTCTTGCATGTGCTAGAAATTCCAGAAAATCACCAGAATCTAAGAAACGAAACTTACCCACTTAAAACCCGAAATTGATCGGTGGAATAGGAAGCTCTTGACCTCAGGATCGCCTTGGGGCTTCTGATCGCGGATTAGATGAACCACTGGTGAGAAATTTTAGAGAGAAAAGAGGAGATCAAAGTTTTGACGAAAGATGGTGTATTCAGAGAATAAAACGAAGCTTTGAAATTTTCGTTTATATGCCACTCTTAAAATCACTCGATCTTATCCTCTGTATACACCTGTCTTTTCCAACTTCTTTAATTTTCTCAGCTCTTACAACAACAAATTATTTTGATAGTACGCCTACAATAATAACCATGGCATTTACAAACAAGCAACTTATTTTGATAGACGCCCGACAATTAAATAACCATGGCATTTATGTTTTAATGTATTGAAGAATTGATGTGAGAAGTTGGGAGTGTGGGCCAATAGAGGTGGTTGGTAAGGAAAGAAAAACAACTTGATTTTTAGAGATTGTGATTTGAGAGTTTGAGAGAAAAGAACCAGTAAGAGAAGGAAAAAGGAAAAGTTTAGTGGATTTTTGTTTATACATACATAAATACTATATATATATATATATATATATATAATATATATATCTTTAAGTTCTTATATTTTATACTACTAAAATTAAACTTAAAGTTTAAATAAACAATTTAAATTATGATGTAAGATAATTTTAATTATAATGACTACTTTAATAAAATTTTGAAAAGGTCAATATATAAAACATAATAGATTAAAATCATACATGGATTGAAAAGTATAACCTATATCTATATATATTTGTAACTATATATAAAAGTAATACACTTTTTATATATTTTTTCAATTTTACTCTCTTAATTACTATAGTTTAAATTTAAATAATTATTCAACATAAAAAAATGTTTTTTAGTTTTATCATTTTAGTAACCGAATTCAAATAATTACTCTTTAAAAAATATTACTTTTTTTTATCATTTTAGTAATTATATTTTGAATTTGAATTATTATTTATAATAAAAAATCATTTATAGAATATTACTTATAATATTTTTTATTTCAATTACTAAAATTTATTTTATCTATAACTATATATTTATAATTATATACATATTTTGTTTTTCAATTTTATCCTTTTAATTACTACTTTTAAAATTTAAATAATTTCTATATTTAAAAATTGGGGGATCTTTGTTGTTTATGGTAATATATATAAAAGAAATCCTTTCATACTCATGTATTTTTATATCTTTATATGCAAGTATCACTAACAAATACAAGTTTCCATTTAGTATTATTACCCACCAAAATATTTGGTAGTGAATTTTTCATCCGTATTTCTCCACTTCCTTTTAGAAACTCCATCAATTGTCCACCGTCCGATGGACCAATCAAGTCAAACTCGCAAATCCTCATTGCCAACTAGTTAAATCCACGTCAACCCCTCACACCCTGTGGACGTGCCACGTCACCACCAACGTCGAGCACGTGGTTTTATGCGAAGATGAGGGCAATTCTTAGGCCGGATTGAAAATACCTTTATCCTTTGGTTCTGTCTGATTTCTTTTACTATTTAATGATATAATGTCTTTATGAAAGACACCGATGAAATAGGTCAGTTGTTGTTTTTCTTATATATATGGTTCTATTAGTGTAGTAGCAGTCTATCACCACGGCAAATGACTCAAGCAACCATGGATTGCTACGCAAGTGCCTGCTCCTTTGCACATAGCAATATTTCCATGGTTTGCTATGGGACACCTCACTCCTAATCTTCACTCTCTCCCAACAAGTAGCAGAGAGAGGCAACAGAATATCCTTCATAGTCCCACCAAAGAACACAAACCAAACTACACCACTCAATCTGCACCCTCATCTCATCACCTTTTGTCCCCATCAAAATTCCCTCATGTTCCATTGCCTTCCTCACCATGCTTAGACACTTCAGACGTCCCCTTCTCTTTAGCCCCACTTATCGCCACCGCCATGGATCGCACACAGAACGACATTCAACTTCTCCTGAGGAATCTCAACCCACACATTGTTTTCTTCGATTTCCAACATTGGCTACCCAGCTTGACTCGGAGCCTAGGCATCAAGAGTGTGATGTACCTCATAGTTCACCCATTATCAGCAGCATACCTTGGAGATGGACCAAGAAGAAGCCAAGGAAGAGAGTTATCTGAACTTGATCTAATGGAACCTCCTCCGGGGTTCCCTGATTCATGCATCAAGTTTCAGCCACATGAACTTCGGTTCCTC